ATGAGAATCATCAAATAAAATCTGTTAAAAAAAAGGGTAAAACATGTTAATATCTATATATAAATATAGCAGCTTTCATATACTGTGCAACAAAGCCAAATGCACTAACTACAGATTTAGGCAAAATTTAGCTGAGAGCAGAAACTGACAACATTTATATTTCCATCACTTCCAACACTTTTTATGCAATAGACGTATGATTCCAAAGAAAAGCATGTTAAATGTGCAGTCGCAACAAAACCAAACAGTCAACTACAAAGCCAACGCAAGGGAGCCAAATCCTGTTAAAGCTAGCTGGAGATAACAACGGCTAGCCTTGACTAAAGTTAAACTTACTTACTTACTTTTCCCCCTTGTTAGTGAAATAGAATAATTTTGCTAAAAGTATGTAACTTTCACAGAAAGATGCAATTCTTACAGTATTTGCTCAATTGTTTCAATTCAGCCCATGCTTAAATTAATCAGCAAGATTACACTTATTTCATAATTCTGTGACAAAACATACATTTTCAAATGAAAATTCATTAACATTCATAATACATTTATTGGTTAATTTGATATATATGTTAGGTTGTTATTCAGCAGCAATAGTGTGTGACATAGAAATCTGCATTGTTTGTACGCTTTGTTTACTCACACACCAGTTGTGTTGACCTGTTCCTCGAGGCTTCGCTCAGAGCCGTGGAACTCCAGGAACAGCGTCGGGGTCACAGGGTAGGACAGAGAGCTGAACCTGTTGCACGCATCAATCATCACATCATCCAGAAACTCTGGTATAACGCGCGCGCACACACACACAGAGTCAGAACACAGAGAATGAGACTAATGTCAGTGTTGTGCAGATAGCAGTAGATAAATAGGCCATCCTTCTGACCAAATACAAATTTTCCAGCTGCCAATGACTGATTGATTCTATTTTCACAGTTAATTTGATAACACACTTCTCCCTCCTGGATTATATTATCCTCCTACTGCAGGTACCCATTTTCTTAAGAGATCAATAAAGTTTCATCTCTTCCTTGTTCTGTCTTTTAACCCAGTTCTTCCAAACCACATTCATCTTCCTTCTACCTCTCTGTGGCTATTTTGTCTTTCATTAAACCTAATAACGCAAGCTTCTCGCTGGACTGATTACATTCACATGGCTAACACTTAACACACACATTTAGATCCCCTCCAGTGTGCATTTGTGGGCCAGAATAGTCTTGAGTAGCCCGGAGATACCACTTGCAGTTCATTTGTATTTGACTGCATTTTCAGTCATGGCCACATACTGTGAGGAAATAGGCAGATTTCAAAAGACGTGATCTGAAAAGATTTCTTCCTCTTCTAAGATGGTGAAAAGTTTGATTTCATTGTTAGAAGTCTCTTTATACATCTCAGATATAGAAAGCTTTTGCCAATTCATCTTCAAGAGCTCCTCTCTCGATGTCTTGTCTTTGTAGTAGTCTTTGTCATCAAAATATGGCTCAATTAAATCCAACCACCATATTAAACTGCATTATCCTCTTGTATGCACATGCTGAGAACAAACATAGACACTGGACTAAAATTGAGTTTTTAAAGATCCCTTCCAGACAT